AACCCAGGGTCACGTCAAAAAATAAATTCAGTCAAAAAGTCACTTGGACAGTGAAAAGCAAGTTCGAAGCTTGTAAAATGCTAGTAGGACACAAAATGGCAAATGACTAAGCAATAGAAACGGCCTTTTGACTGAATTCATTTTTTGACGTGGCCTTGGGATAGCTAGGGGTGGATTTTTCGATGAAAAAAAAAGTTCATTAAAACATTCCAAATATATATGAATCGACGCAGTTTTCGATGCTGATTCCGAATATGTAAAACAATCAATAGACTTCTATGACAGTTTTCAGAAATCCAGCGTAGTTTTCCAAAGATCCTTTGAGAAACCGGTCTTCAGATTTTTTCTCAGAAAAGCTTTTGCTTATGCAAATATGCTCTTAGGTCTTGGCTATCAAACGCTGAAAACCGCAGTTCTCTATCTTGTTCCTATAAAAAGTTATTCAAAAAACAACCGAGTGCCTTGAATTCTGGAACGGATAGTAGTATTATTCATTCGTCTAAATTCAAATACCTCTGTGAACTTTATTTGGATTACTGATCTAAATGGGTTTATCGCTTCTTCAAGTCTTACTATTTCGATCTCGTTGAAGAGATAAGAATTTATTTTAGACATAATGGGAGAATTAAAAATCAAATATGATCGAGACATTTCGCCAAATATTGGGATATTTCGAAGAGAAATATTTTCGAGTTGCGATTTTTTCTTGGTTATGCTGTCTAACGTATAAGAGATCATATTAGTCTGATTTCACTAGTATCGATAATTAAATGTTTCACTAATTGTATATTAGGTTTAAAATCATTTACACTGCACTTCCGCAAACGTATCAGATCATAGCTCAAAAATACATTCTAATCTCAAATCGACACAGATTTATCGTGCATTTCGAGGAAGTCTACTCGTTTTGAGCGTATTAATAAAATGTAAACTTGAAAACTATTCTCTTTTAAACGTCTCGCTATCTACCTACACATGTCGATGATGAAACATTATTTCTGGTCAATACATTCACTCTGGTACTGATTGAGATAAACTGGTGGTGCGTTATTTCACTGATATTGGGTTGGTAAGAACTTTTTTGCGTGTTTTTCGAAAATTTGCTAGAACAATCGAGGAAGTTCTAGAAGGTTCCATAGTAAGGGTATATATAGGGGGTACGAATATCTTTCGAAGAATAATAACATTATGGAAATGGACGTTGATCTCGAATTAGAAATTAATATATCTCGTAGAGAGCTCCGATTGCTTCTGCTTCATGAATTCCGTTTGGGTCGCAAAGAAACGGAAGCGACAAGCAACATATGTGGTACGATGGGCAAGAATGTACTCTCCATCCGTACAGCAGAACATTGGTTCCATCGATACAAGAGTGGTAACTTCGAACTCGACGATTTACCTCATACTGGAAGACCACTACAGGTGGATATGGATCTTTTAAAGCAGCTTATTGAACAAGATCCTAGGTTGACGACACGGTGTTTAGCAGAGCGACTTGGATGTTCTCACATTGCAGTGGAAACACATCTGCACGAATTAGGCAAAACGTGGAAATATGGAGTTTGGATACCACATGAATTATCACTGCTTCAGCTGCAATATAGGGTTGATGCTTGTATGGAATTATTGACTTCTCATCGCAACTGCCAATGGCTCCATAATCTTATTACTGGTGATGAGAAATGGGTGTTATGCATTAACTACCAGCGCAGACGCCAGTGGCTGAGTGTGTGGTGGGGAGTCAAAGGGATTATTCATTGGGAAATTCTTCCAAATGGCTGCAGCGCCACTGCTGATCTCTACTGCCAGGAATTAGATCGGGTTGCAGAAAAACTCAAAAGAAAGCAAGATTGAATTTACTTTTTGCACGATAATGCCAGACCCCATGTAGCAAAGTTGACACGCCAAAAGTTATTGGATCTTGGCTGGATCACTGTTCCCCATCCACCTTATTCCCCAGACTTCGCTCCTACAGACTAACACCTGTACCGTTCTCTCTCCAATCATCTACGAGAGAAAAAGTTCGAAGACGAGAACGACCTCAAAACGGATCTCCTCAACTTCTTCGACCAAAAGTCTCAAGACTTCTACGAACACGGGATCCTTTCTCTACCAGAGCGTTAACGGCAAGTCATAGGCAGTAATGGAGCATATATTGTTGATTGATACTTGTAATCTTAGATTTAAAAAATAAAAAGAAAATTTTTGAAAAAAACGCAAAAAATGTCTTACCAACCCAATAATTACGGGTATCATAACAGCAATTATACCTTCTCCATTCAAGATAATAGTAAACAGGGAGATATATCAGCATGATAGGCTAATATGAATTTCAAGATATACCAAAAGTAGTAGTTTTCTAGTGTGAATATGAACATGAACAGCAGTTTTTGATTGATGAAATTCTTGCTGAAAAGGAGTTGATAGGCAGATAAAGTAGCTATTAATCATTGATTTTACTCATTTCCAATAAATCTAGGTGATTTGTGATGATTCGATGTTATTTTTAATAAGTGCACTGACTAATTTTCAGCGACTCTAATTGGCTCCGAATGATCCTGAGTAACTTCATAGACTCCAACGCTAGTGTGAACTATTTCCCTCTTCACTAGAACAGTGGCTTTTCAATACTGATATTCATTGAAAGCAATTGATTTGATATATTGAATCAATTGTATGTGGAAAAAAGAGTGAGAGCAGGTAATAGAAGGAGATTCAAAGAGTGAATGGAGTGCCCACCAAATCATCATATGATTCAATTAATTTCTAGTTGCATTAGTCATCTTACAGCAGTTGGATCGACCATCGGACTACTTCCATCAAGATTTTGTCTGATGCTGTCGAATTTCTACGGAATCTTTCGGATGATCTGAGACGTACTATAAGATTCAGTGTGGTTTAAGTCTGATACCCTTCATTCTAGATAGGTTAGAATATGGATCTGGAGTCTTTATGCAATATAAAATAAAAACTTGAATCGATTCAAAATATGGTTGTTTTAAAATTTGTACGTGATTTCGCATCTCGCGTGAACGCTTTCGCAAAAAAAGTAGTTATACATGATGCTTTCAAATAACACAAGAAAATGAATATTTAACAGGATTATAGATCGAAAGTAGTATTAATGTCTTAGAGCAGAACTACAAGTAATCTATTCTTGTGAAGATGACATCATCGTTCAACATATTAGCCAAACTTACGGTGTGTTTTGAAAGTGTAGAAGTACTCTTTCAGTACATCTCATTAATAATTTTAAGCGTAACATAAAAGACAAACACTCTAACAGAATTAATATCTGATTGTTTTATCAAACGTCGAGGTCGGTGTAGTCAGTACTTCACTATCAGTGACGTCATTATCAGTATTTCGATGTCAACACGGACACTACATATATCTAGGGATGAACATAATACAAATTATTATGTATCAAAAACTATATCTATTTTTTCTACTAATCGATTAAATTGAATCAAAAAGAATAAATACAATTTTTCTATATTTTTTTTCTCGTATATATTAGATTTCTGTTCTAAAGGAACTAAACAGCGTATCTTTCTCATTCTATATTTAACAACTAATTAACGTCTAGTCTATCTGATAGCCATAATGAATGTGACTCAATACAATAGTATAAAAGAGTTAGAAGGAGATCATATAATATTACTTTTGATTTCAAAGTGATCATTGTACGCAATATCAAATAAATATGATATATACGTCTGGAAAAAAATAGTTATAGTACGTATTTTTAATATATTGTCACTACAAAAAGCCCATTTTTTTAAAGTTAATTAAATATTCTGAAAGCATGCGGAGTTTTCTATCAACTTAGATATGCATGTTTTGGTTTGCACTTATGCATTATGATAATAAATGTAGTACAATAAAGGTATCATAAATGTCCAGATTTCCTAACAACAAAATTTTGTCAGTGTCATGACAATTAGTTTTTAAATTTTTTATCACTAGAGCAGTACTTTTTGAACAAACTAATTATATATTTTGATAAAGCTTGAAATTCTCTATCATCCTATATATTTCTCTATTGTCTTGACTATACTTATTCAAAAAGAAAAATCAAGTATATTGAATATTATCTCAATTTAGAAGGATCAAAAAATCCTTATTTATTTTCGATAATCTTGTAAGTTTTTTAAAATTATTATTTGACATATGTAAATTTTCACACAAAATTAATTATAGATTTTAATAGCGCTTACAAATCCCTGCCGTCCAGTATGTTTTTACATTGTCTTCGATCTATTACATGCAGCACATAAATGTAGTATTGAAGAAAAATATAGAAGATGATAGAGCATTTGAAACTCTATAAGAATATATGATTATATTCCACAAAGTGCCTATATATACTAACGACAATATAATAAGAGAGAAAAATAAGGATTTTTTGACCCTTTTAAATTGAGATAATATTTAATATACTTGATTTTTCTTTTTGAATTAGTATAGTTAAGACAATAGAGAGACATATAGGATGATAGAGAATTTTAAGCTCTATCAGAATATATAATTAGTTTGTTCAAAAAGTGCAGCTCTAGTGATAAAAAATTTAAAAACTAATTGTCATGACACTGACAAAATTTTGTTGCTAGGGAATCTAGACATCTATGATGCCTTCATTGTACTACATTTATTATCATTATGCATAAGTGCAAACCAAAACATACATATCTAAGCTGATAGAAAACTCCACATGCTTTCAGAATATTTAATTAATTTTAAAAAAATGCGTTTTTATAGTGACAATATACTAAAAATACGGACTATAACTATTTTTTACCCAGACGTATATATAGACGCAAATTCTAAGCTATTTCTGGTATAATAATTCATTAGCCTAGCAATGATCTGATCCACGTCTGAATAGAATCGAACAAAAACAGCGTACAATTTCAATTACTTGTTACATAGAAGATAAGAGTTGTAGATAACACTAAAAGTTCATTTATAGAACTACATACATGATTTAAATCATACGAACTCATTTTGAAATCACGAAAATCATCTTAATTCAGTTTAGACCACAAAATCACAGATTACTTTTTTTCCTTAGATCTTGTCTTTCCTTCTTGTCAAAAAATGTTCATTTTTTGCTGACTCATCCCTTTTCCCTCTGTCCGAACGTCTCTTATGGTTGACCTCTTATTGAATAATCTTTTTTTTCTTCGGTCATGCAGATCTCTAATCATGATATTGAGCAAAATTTATTACTACCAGCTCTTCACTATAACTTCAATCTATCTTGAATATTCAATACAATCCTCATAGTACAGAAGCCGAAAGCTATTTCTGAGAACGAAGCATCAATCCCTCTGCCACTGATCAATAGACGTACAAAAGTCATTTAAAAAATCAATTTTTAGAGAATTGCTTAAAAACTATCTTTTGTCTCATTTGTCTTAAGGAGTGGAGCTTTCCTAATGGGCATAAAATTTTATTTTATGATGTGCAAAGATACGAACGAAACATACTGATTTGATTTTTAGAGCTGTTTTCATGTCTTCTATAATCCTCTTTCTAAGTATCACCATCTTAAGACTAATTGTTAGTAAAACATCATAAAGAGTCGATATTTCTTTATATCTTAATTAAAGCGTTCATCGAAATACAACAATCATCATGTTTTTTTCAATTTATTGAACAAATCAAAACAAAATTTCCTTTATAACGAAGGAAAGTAATGATAAAAATCTTTCTTTTGTATCAGTATGTTGAACAGTAAAAGTTCTCTTATCTTCTTACAATTGTGTCGTGTTTCTTCTCTTGTAAAGTTCTTCGTCACAGTTCTCAAATCATTGTATTTAATCATTAATTTGTTTAGACATGGTACAGATGTTTTCGTTTCATTTAAAAATTCTTCAACATTGTTAATATTTCCCCGTCTGACGTTAAATGTGGTAAGATGAGGATATTTAGCGATTGAACATGATTGACTATCATTAGATAAAAATGAGTTAATATCGCACGACGATTGAAACATACAATTTATAACATGAAGTGTCTGCAGTAATGAAAAAGATCGAGAAACCCGAAGAAAGAATTCATGATTGAATGGAACTATATCATGTACCACTAAGATCGTGACATATTTGAATACAATATCTGGAAATATGTTTCCAACAGCTCGAATCCGATGAAATGCAAAAGGAAGTGAGAAGATAGAACATACAGCTTCATCAATACTGATATAATTTATCATATTAGCCATATATTGTTCGTGTCCAATATTTGTATCAATTCGTTGAATATCTTGTCTAGGTACATAACGAAATAAATCAGCAGCACGATCATAAGTACTAATATAAAAAGTAAATGAATGAAGACGTGGCATATAAAGGAGAATTTCATTTTCAAGATGAGAACGATCGATAAATCTATCTCGGATTTTTATACAAAGATATAAAGTTAATTTTTCCAGATATGTCATACGATGAAGAAGAAGTAAAATGTGTTCATCATATATATCAAATAGAAAATAACATGTCAATGAAAAACATTTCAAATTAGGTAAATTATCCTATGTGATAAAAAAAAGAATATTTATAAATACAAAAGTTTATAGAATTGGTAGTCAACTTCATAAGAATGTCAAATTCTTTGTTAAAACTTACCGTAATGGGAATGACTGATGAAGATTTGCTTGTTTTATATATTTGAACAATAAGTGTAGATAGTTGTTTGAGTCGACCGTCAAGTAAATAAAGACAATCATCAAATGTGCTCACATTGATAGATAAATAAGAAAGAGTTGCAGAGGAAAAGCTAATTGATGGTGAATCACAGAGTGATAAAGATGGATATGATCGATTGTGTGCTTCAATAATACTCAAATGTTTTAAATTTCTAAAGAACTTCAAAATATGTTCATATACATTTCTATTATAGTTTTTCAATGATTCTATCCCAATCCGTTCGTCAATATTTACGAGAATAAGATGTGTAAGTTTTTATTGAAAGATATATCGAAGAGATGATTCATCTAAATATGAAATAATAAATTATTCTATAACCTGTTCTATTTAACATCACTATCTGTTTGTTTTTCTTACTTGTAAAATAATTTAAGCCAACATATTGCGTGAAATTAAAAAGTTTACGTTCAGTTAGATTTGAATACTCAGCAGCTAGAAGAATACATTTCATTGAAAGTGGTTCAAGAATAAAACATTTGACATTTTCATGAATTTTTGGCAAAATAACCTTGCAAAATCGATCAAATTTCTGTTGATCAATTGCAGAAACGTTATCAATGGATACAAAGTTGAGAGTATCACTGAAGATTTTTTCTAGTGCTAGACTGTTCAAATGATCATTATTAACATCGATAAATGAATAAAGAACATCAATATTGTTCAGTTTTTTCAAAATAAGAAGTAATATCTCGTCAGGTAAATTTAATAGATTAACATTTGATTGACTCATATTTTATTCTGGCTATGACACTTCTCAAAAATAAAAGTTTATATAGATTTATATCCATTGTTTGTTTATACCAGCTTCCATCATTGTGGAATAGAACAGATTAAGTCATTGAAAAAATGAAAGATTAATGACATCGTCCAATTGAAACATCATCAACAAATGATATATTCTCTTACGTGACTGTAGAATGACATAAAAATATGCATAATAATTTATTTATATTGAGACAAAAGATCAATTGGATCAATAAAACAAACATTAGAAAGCAAATAAGTGGTATCGCTTCAATCGTTCTTTTAAAAATCATATGATAAGCTAGTTTTCGAAGAAAGCTGTTCTTGATATATTTGTTTACTTGGTATACAAAAGAAAAACTGTTCTATATTTGTATTCTATGTTCAAATGTCTCGATCGACAAAAAGAATGAAAGTTGAATCTAGTACACGTTCGAATGATTATTCAGAAAAGGCTAAACAACTTCTTTATTCAGGACAATTTATGACATCAAGTATTGATAATGATAATGAGATAAAAAAGATTTTCTTTAGTTTATTATTCATAATTTTCACTAAACAAGAATTAAAGATTACTTTAAATTAAATTCGTTTTCATATCGATAAATTGTTAGATAAGATTTCAGCACAAATATCAAATAGATTATATTCATCATTATCGAATGGATGTTTATCAATTCGATTTTTTTTACAAACACTTAATATTTTTCGTGCCTAAACAGAACAATAAAATAAATAAGTTTTTATTTTTTTTGTTTTTGTTCGTCTTATGTTTCATGTAACAAAGAATAAACTAAATTGTTTTCGAATAAATCGACAAAACATGAAAAATTTCGAACAACAAATTTGACATATATTGAATGCATTAAAAATGTTGTCTTTCTTGTTTTTTCGTTTATTTTAAAACTTTTCAAAGCTAAAGTCGAGAAAGAAAATGTTTGGTTTGAAAATGAAATAGTAATAGTAAAAAAAAAAAAGCTGATGAGTAATATCACTTGTTGATCCCAATTACAATAAACGTTTAGAAAAGCTTGTTGCAATTTTACAATTGTTTTTTTATTTAACTGCTTGATTAAGTTCAGATTTTAATGCCATCATTTTATGTATTGATTCTAATTGTAAATCAGTGAAATAAGCAACTAATTCATATGAACGTTTTTCATTATTTTTTACTAAAACTTTTTCTACCATTGACTTTTGTAAAGCAACAATATATTCTCTACATATTTCGAATCATTCATCATCTTGAAATTTTTCATTTTTTTTATTAAACAATAAACAATTTGAAGACGTCTAACTAATTCTTTTAATTTTAATCGAACTGTTGAATAAAATACCTTTTGGTGATTGTTCATCACGCCTTAACAATTGAAATAAAAATTTTAAAATATTTATTAGATAAACAAATAAATTAAAAACCTAATTTCTTAATGGATATTTATATAATGATGGTAGTGCTGTTCAGAGCTCTAGATGAACATGAATATATTTCAAGAAATAATTGTTTATATTCATCAAAACAAACAATTCTAATTTGACGATATAACAAATGCATTGCTGATTGAATGAATCACTTTACATATGATCAATTGATAATTTGAAATTTTGTGCCCAAGCTAGTGGAACTGATTGACCTTTTGTTGGTACTACAAAATCTACGCTTACATCTTCTTCATCATCAGCTTCACCGATTTCACCAGTTATTTCCTAAAATAAAGAAATATGTTATTCTTTCATTTCATACTAAAGAGAAAGAAAGATCAATAACATACAAGATCAGTTGCCAATTCAATTAATCAATTTGTACTTCACCATCAGGCCAATCTCTACCACTGATTGCAATTTCATCAATATCAAGATTTGCAGCAAGTTTTGTTCTGATATTTGATATTAACCCTGCTTTGATTCTTGTTGACTTATTCGACATAGTGATAAAATTAATTCAACATTTAGACTCGAGATTAATATTGTTTAAATCTATGTCTATCTTATTATTTCATATTTAACATATCAATTAAATAAAGAACAATTAATAAAAACTTTGTTAAACTCTCAGTCTATCAGCTTATTCCATTTTTGAAATACAATATCAAAACTCTTCTTATTTTTTTTTAATCTACATTCTAATGAATATCAAGCAGAGAAAATAAACTAAATTAACTATGATATGATGATTTTTTTGTAATCTATTTAAAACAAACCTTATCATTCAATGTCGAAAGAAACTTCGACAATTATCATAAACTTATTTATCACAAAAGTACAGCAAAATTTTGAGATAAGTGATGTCTCGGATATAATTAAAGATTTTTAGAAATTATTTAATATCTGAAAACAATTGGTATATTTACACGAAAATTTATTAATATTTCCACATTCAAGTGCTAACCTAAATCTTGTTTTTTTTTATCTTTTACAAAATGAAGTGCAAATTTTCGATAACCTTTCTTTTGAGAATAACCAGTAATGCCTTCTCAAACTAATTTTGGTGTTCGAACCATTTGAAGTACCTTAACAAATTTTTGCAAAAAAATTTAAAAAAGATATTTCTAAATTTTATTTCAACGCATTTTCTATTAATTAAAGCTTATTTAAATTTATATTCTGTTCGATCAATATCTAATAATCTTCATCGAACTTCTCTACAGTTCTTTACATTAATCTATTAAGAAAAAAAAAATTCTATTGAAATGTCATACTGATAATTTAATAGTGCATTCATATTGAATGAGTTTTTCTGAATTTACGTGCTAAATTAATTCAAACAACAGTTCATCTTTTAACACTATTATCATCATCAAATTCTTTTATTAACCAATAGTCAATTGTATCAGTTGATTCACAAGATAGTTCAAGATTATGTTACAAAAATGGCCTTCTCATTTTTAAAAAGCAGTATTATATTTGCTTCTTTTTTAAAGATATTCAATTAATTAAAATTAACTCAATTACTTTCTACATTTCAATCATGTCTCAATGATAATAATACACGTCTTATACATGTTTTATTCAATGCTTTACGAACATTATTACCCTTTTTTAATTAATTAATAAAACTAGATAAAACAAATATATGATTATACTTAGGGCATACCAAAAGTAGTGAGAGAGGTACTTTTTTTCCTTGAAGCGGGGTACAAAAAAGATTTCTTTTTTACCAATAGATAGAGCATGTTTCACTCTATTTTTCTATGCTATTTGGTCACTATTAAACTGTTATCATTATTATAAAATTTCGATAAAATCTGTTTTTGTCGCATATACGCTGGTAGCATGAACATGAATGCTTGTGAATATTTTTGGAATAACTTTTGATAGAGACAAGATAGAGAACTGCGATTTTCGTCATTGGAAAGAGGAGATGAAGACGCATCGAGCGATATATTACTGATTTTTCTAACCTGCTTTTTGTAAGGTTTTAGCTCACCTTTTAAAGAGCAATTCCATTCCATGAGTTGTTTACAGTGAATTTTCAATAATTGTGTTCACATTCAAACCGCTAATCGGAGATCTACAGACTGCGAAAGGCTCAGCTGTTTAAATTTAATTATTTATGGATAATACCTATTCTAGACGAACCTCTATGAAGATATTGTTGAAAATTTTTTGCTTTTTCTTTTTTTCATAAAACAAGCGTTTTTCTAACGATTAGAAAATTGAATAAAAAAACTGTCAGAAATCATGTTAGAAAAATCAATAATATGTATTTCGATGCGTCTTCATCTCCTCTTTCCAATGGCGAAAACTGCAGTTCTCTATCTTGTTTTTATCAAAAGTTATTCCAAAAATACACACGAGCATTCATGCTACCAGCACATATGCGACAGAAACAGATCCTATCGAAATTTTATTATTATGATAACAGTTTAATAGTGACCAAATAGCATAGAAAAATAGAGTGAAACACGCTCTATCTATTGGTAAAAAAGAAATCTTTTTTGTACCCCGCTTCAAGGAAAAAAAGTACCTCTCTCACTACTTTTGGTATGCCCTAAGTAACTATGATTTTAATGCCTTATTAGGATCCATTCTGGGATGATTTACAGGTTGCTACTGGCGGATCTTTTTTGCAGTAATAACCAAACTTCGATAAATATTATAATATAATGAAATCAAATAATATATTTTATATATAGACGAATACCTAATACTGGTCACAATGTACAAGGATTTCAAGACAGTCTAGCAAGTTTCTATCTAAGCGTTGCCGATGTAAGTCTAAATAGCAATTTCTTTTCTTCATTTAATTATACAGCAATATAGAGAACACTTTTGCCATCAATGAAATGGACACGTACAAGTAATGGAACTCATGGTATCATTCGTCTTGCCATTGATTTTACTGATGGAAAACCAAAACCGACAGCTGTTACTGCTTATCAAGCTCGTACTAGTGATACTTTAAGGTACCATTTTGAGAGCAAGGAGATCAAAGAATTGATATTCTTTTTGGTTTCGTAGACGTGATTTTCGTCTATCTAAACTTGATCGAACTAATGGCAGAGTTGTTCGTAATCCTGTTACTTGGGCAAATACAGGTGTTCAATTTGAAGTAGTATTAGAAATGATTTGTTGTAGTATGTGTTTTTCTATTCTATTGTTATTCTATAGGGACAAATAGGTTCAACTGCTTCGTATTCCGTAACAATACCTATCCCGATAGACGACTATTGGATCGCAACTTTTCTTCAGGCTACATTTCCTGGAAGTCAAGGCATAAGAATGGTTTTGACGACAGAAACCCTTATTTTACCAAATACGTATCCGACACCAGAATGTCATGATCAAGAATGTTATGGTCAACTTGTTTAGCTCGATATCGAGTTATTTATAAAGGACCCATGATTCAATGAATGAATATTTTGTTCGTCAAATACGCGAGTCAAGGGATTTAACATTATAATAAACGAGAAAAAAATTGTTTCGCTAACAAGTAGCATTGATGATTGATCAATAGTTTATATAATATATGTGGCATTAAAAAACAATGCTGTTCTGAATCATAGTTTATCTCACTAGTTTTTGGTGCAAGATATGAGAATGCAAATTTTAGATCATTAAATGGCTAAATAGACCAAAAATGATTATACTGTAGTCTATTCAAACTATTAAAAGTAAAGATAACAAATCATTCATCGAAATGGCAGCTCTAACTACTATTCAGTTATCTTTCACTCATTGGTCGACAAAGATTGTATTTTTTGTCTTGTCTGTGTAGAGAAATGCACACAGAAAACAGTTAGAAAAATTTGAACTATTTCTCATTTTATTATAGCAATTCTATCAAAAAATTAGTATAAAATAGAAATTCATTCACTGTTTTTATAGAAGAATCAATGTGATGCATATGTTTTCTATAGCATCGTTTTGATATCTGTCACATTTTAGCAGCGAAAGTTAGATATTTGTTTGTAAATTGTTTATTTCAAGCTCGATAGTCAAATAAATTATACTTAACAGCAGCATGAAAATGTATATTATATGCTAAAAAGACTTATGTTTTTCAACGTTTGTTCGACTACGTATTTTACACTGTTTGTCAAGAAAAAAAACTAACACATAGGTGGCTGGGAATCACAATAAAGCTAAACCGAATTTTATGGAAATCAAATATATTTTCGAAAAGACTACTGAATGTAACTTTAAAAGGAGATTTTTGCGACTTCTTATCTCCTTTTCTATTACGGACATATGTTCTATTCAGCCCATTCCAGATATTACCAATCCATCGTATTTTAGAAAGAAAAAGACAATTAATTTAAATTATAACGAAAGAAACCGAATGAAAATAGAACAACAAAATAAATTAGACAAATTTCTGCTTTAAATATTGATTATATTGAAAAATGAGCATAGCTTTTCAGGAATTTTTCATTTTGCGCATATTGACCGGTCAACACTAAGGGTACAAGGATATACATGAGTACCACATATTAATCCCAAAGAGAGTGTTCTGAAGTCTTCTTTTGTTTAAAAGAGTAAACTATTACCTCTCTCCAAGGCATCTTCCCTATTCATTCTTTTTTCTTGGCACACTAACGTTTCTAAAGTTTAACTATCTTTCATATTCGACATTGTCTTTCAATGATTGTATTCGTGCATATTTATTAATTACGGATGCAGAGGGAGAAATAATGTGAGATTACTAGAATGTAAAAGCGTTGACAGGATATAAGTAAAGTGAAGATCAATATTCACACTCATATTCTTCCATTGAATGCGAATTCTAGCAGTCTAAAACAAGATCTATACCTCTCATTGTTAACATGAATTTATCAATCAAGACTCATACATTGTTGAAATAAGTCGTTTGAAAAAGAAAAACGTCACATGATGTAACATGGTCGTGATATGGTGAGAAAGTTTTTTCGTAGATTCCTAATGCTTTTTAATAATATTCAAGCGCTTCTGTGTAATCTTTCTGGTTTTGATAAAAGTCATCTACGCAAGTATATGTCGATACGATAGCTGAACTCTTAGGTGGTAATTTTAAAATACGATGGAT